CACTTCTCTTCTTCTCTTTTGTTCCTCTCTGTTATTTTCCTCTCATGGCCTTTTTTAATCTCACCACAATCTCCCTCACCGTCCCCTTCTGAGCCACCGTCACAGCCACCTCCTTTACCCCCATCACTGTCTTTGCCACCGTCACGGTCACCTTCTTTGCCTCCGTCACAACCACCGTCACAGCCACCTTCATTGTCTCCGTCACAACCACCGTCACAGTCACCTTCTTTTCCACCGTCACAATCACCTTCTTTGCCTCCGTCACAGTCAACGTCAGTCGCTTGTAAGTCAACTCCATACCCTAAGCTATGCCGTACGATCCTCTCGGCTTTCAAATCCTCACCGTCCGATCCATACCGTTACGGGAAGTTCACCATCAAGCAATGCGTAAAACAAGCAAGCCGTCTTTCCAAAGTCATCACTTCATACGCGAAGCGCGTGAGGAGCAAACCCGGCTCGGCCACGCCGGAAGAGATCGGCGCGCTGGAAGACTGCGGCGAGTTAGCCGAGCTGAGCGTGAACTACCTCGAGACCGTCACGGAGGAGCTCAAAACGGCTGATATGATGACGTCGGCTCTCGTGGAACATGTGAACAGTCTTCTTAGTGGTGTGGTGACGAACCAGCAGACTTGTCTCGACGGACTCGTGGAGGCGAAGAGTGGATTCGCCGCCGCGATCGGTTCGCCGATGGGGAATCTCACGCGACTTTACAGTATCTCGCTAGGGCTTGTGAGCAACGCGCTTAACCGTAACTTGAAGAGGTTTAAAGCCTCTAAAGGGAAGATTCTTGGTGGTCAAAACTCAACCTATCGCGAGCCTCTCGAGACTTTGATTAAGGTAAAGCCTTTTGATTATTTAAAAAAAAAAAATTGTTTGTTTATAAAAACCTATTGCTTAGGAGGAGTTATTGATGAAGTTATGAATTTACATGTTTAGGACGTATGGATTAATTGATTTATAGTATAGTATATTCGAACATATCAAAATTGAATAGATCGGGTTCATAAATAGACGTGCTCTAGTTGAGTGTGAGGCAGGACGCGTAAGAGAGTAAATGTCACATGGCCTATAGACGCACATTTTACTACAAATCAACGATGATCATTAAATGGGTCCCAAATTTGACTTTTTTAATTGGGTCCCACTCGAATCCAACTGTGTTCACGTGGATTATCTCATCATAAGATTTACACCGTAATTTGATGTGGACTACAATGAATATTGCTTAAACAAGACATGCATGAATTTATAAGCTGATCATGTAGTAAGAACAAATTAACATCTTTTGTTGTTACGTTTTTTTTTTGTCTGCTATGTAGGTTTTGCGTCAAACATGCGATAAGGAAAAAGATTGCCGGAAAGCTAGCCGGAACTTGGGAGAGTTAGGAGAGACTAGCGGCGGTTCGATCCTCGTGAGGCAAGCAGTGATTGTCGGTCCGTACAAAACCGACAACTTTACGACCATCACTGATGCTATTGCAGCCGCACCTAATCACACTAGACCTGAGGATGGTTTCTTTGTCATCTACGCAAGAGAAGGTGTCTACGAAGAATATATTGTTGTTCCGAGCAACAAAAGGAACTTGATGCTTATCGGAGATGGAATCAATAAGACCATTATTACCGGGAGCCATAATGTTGTTGATGGTTGGACTACATATAATTGCTCGAGCTTTGGTTGGTATTCTTATCCCTTGTTTGTAGTATGGTTCCTATCAATATACTTAATTTATGATATTGACTATGTATAGTTTTTGTTTGATTTTTTAGCGGTCGTTGGAGAGCGGTTCATGGCGGTTGATGTTACATTTAGAAACACGGCCGGACCTGAAAAACATCAGGCAGTGGCCTTGAGGAATAATGCGGAAGGATCGACTTTTTACCGGTGTAGTTTTGAAGGCTATCAAGATACTCTCTACGTCCATTCTCTTAGGCAATTCTATCGTGAATGCGATATATATGGTAAAATAAGTTTTGGTTCTTGC